GTTGCGCCCGGGTGTAACTTTTACGCCTAGTATGGAGCAGGCGTAAATCGGAAAGACAGACTAGTATCCATAGTAACGTAAAACAGGCAAGAAGGATATTAAGGCGTCTTGTTTACATGTTTAACAATGAAAGGGCATTAAGAAGAGTCTCAATTTCTCCTTCTCCAGCTAAATTTGTTCGTGTTCCGCTCTCAATTTGACGGTCTCCACCTCCACACGAACGATTTCTTTCTCCGTCAGTTCCCGCTGTAGCTCTGACAAATCCCTCTTTCTCTTTCGGGGTGTGGCCATTTGGGATTCCCCTTGAGTCATTGATGACGCTGTGGGTGTGGGAATTCCCTCTTCTCTGCGGTCCTCTGAGTCGGTAACACTTTACAATAAGGTACACAAAATGTGCTTAGTTACTGAGGAACTACTAGATAGTTAATGGTTAGTTCCTCAGTGACTGCGATTGAGGAACTGATGGTTAGTTACTGGTAAACAGACTGGGGGTACTGTATTAACGAATCATTCGTTAATGGTTAGTTAATGAGTAGTTCCTCAGTGAACTTATGGTTAGTTACTGGTAAACAGACTGGGGTACTGTATTAATGAATCATTCGTTAATGGTTACTTTATGAGGAGTTCCTGGGAGACTTTGATTGAAGCAATGGTCCGCTGCAGCAGGGCACATTTAAACCTGCCATCTTCGGCTGGCTTGGGTCCCACCCTGGATCAACTGGTGGAGGTGGATCCGATTTACCTTACCATTACTTAGGCCGTTTGGGTATGGTAAACTCAAGGAACGCAAACAAAAACAGTAGTTACCCATTACCTAATGATTACCTTACCGTTACTAAAACAGTAGTTACCCATTAAGTAATGCTTACTTAACCATTCGTTAAGCAGTGTGTGTCCCCTCAAGTAAAGTAATGCATGAAAAACAGTAGTTACCCATTACCTAATGTCTACTTAACCATTCGTTAAGCATTGTGTGTCCCCTCAAGTAAAGTAATGCATCAAAAACAGTAGTTACCCATTACCTAATGTCTACTTAACCATTCGTTAAGCAGTGTGTGTCCCCTCAAGTAAAGTAATGCATCAAAAACAGTAGTTACCCATTACCTAATGCCTACTTAACCATTCGTTAAGCATTGTGTGTCCCCTCAAGTAAAGTAATGCATCAAAAACAGTAGTTACCCATTACCTAATGTCTACTTAACCATTCGTTAAGCAGTGTGTGTCCCCTCAAGTAAAGTAATGCATCAAAAACAGTAGTTACCCATTACCTAATGCCTACTTAACCATTCGTTAAGCAGTAAACAAATAAACAAACCCTGTGCACTCAAGTTTACATTTTTATTTAAACAACAATCCAAAGGACACTAATAATGAAAACAAGGTTGCATCAGAACTTGCAAAAGTGGCGTATGTCATGCAGCAATCTGCCTAAGGGACCATCTTTGTGTTCATTTGTCAGCCAATGTGTCCACTCGATGAAAGCAAGATGACTCTTCAGAGTCTTCACTGTGCGGTTTCCTCGCAGTCTCCAGACCTGTGACTTGTACGTTGACCAAGCCCGCTCAATGTTTTGGGTGTGGGCTCCTGTGTCTGGGTTCACAAATGACCGGCTGTGGTTCACAGAGAAATGGACAAAGCCACTTTCTGCGATTGCAGTGGTGTATGCCCTCCACATGTCCGTTATCACCGTGGTCCCTTGGCGAACGTATTTTGTGACCAGAGGAATTAAGTGGCGCCGTGATCTTTGTTTCACCAGCCTCAGGATAGGTCTTCTCCTTTTTCCTCTGATGCCCAGCATTCCAAAGACCCATTTTCTCCTCCTCCACGTAGGACCGAATCTTCCCCTACCATACTGTAATAAAGCAGTGAAAAAGGACAACACAGTTATATAAAAATAAACATCAGGAATTTCAATTGATAAACAAAGTGAAATGTGTTTATTTGCTTTCTTTTACAATTTAAAAATATTCACTTCCTTTCTCAAAAAAGAAGAGAAACAAATTAAAATGTAGTGGTACAAACAGAAAAGGCTGTTTAATTTTATTAAGTTAAAGTTTGCTTATTTTGCTGCAAGAAACATGAAAATGTAAGATAGATATTGTAATTAGATGATATATAAATAAGATTATGCACTTTTAAAATGTTAGTAATAAAAAGTAAGAATAAGGATTTATTTCCTTAAAGGTAGGGTAGGTCATTTTGGAGAAACCAGCTCGAGATCGCTAGAATTTGAAAATACACAACCGGAGAAAATCTGCCCCTTCCTCAGAGCCCCTCCTCCAATACACACGAACGCGCACATGACCAATGAGGGCACGAGATAAGTTTGTGCCCCGATGGAAGGCTGACAGGCAGGTAGGCCATCCAATCCGTTTAGCCGGATTGGATGTACTTTTTACAGTATTACGGCTTCTACAGAGGACATTTTTTTTAAATGTATTGTCAAAGCACTTAAGATATTCATTGCTATCGGGATGTTAAGAGCATTCCATGGAATATAACAAAAAGTGTATCTCGAGCCGGTTTCTGAAACTTACCTACCCCATCTTTAATGATCTGATTGGATGAGATAATTCTTAGCTTCTAAATTCTTTTTTTCTGTTATTTGACTGTGTATACACTGTGGAGCTGGCTCTCTCTAATGTATACTTTGTCTCGCCAGTCACAAGGGTGTGAATGACACAATTATAAAATTACATTACTTTGCTCATTCATTTGTTAATCTCTGACCTTAAAATATATGTTGTTATTTCACCTTGAAAAACAAAGGTTTTAGTTTTAGTGAGGCCAAAGGCTAAGGCTCTGTAGTTTATGCACACCTTCCTTTTGTGGTAGAAGTTGCTTTCGTCCAGCATGACAAATTCGTTTGGTCCTCCAAGTCTCTGCTTTCCCCTCCTTTCTCTCCTCTTGATTGCACTCTTGCAGACCTTCCTCAACTTCAGGCTAATTTTTGACAGCGTGCGACTGCTTCCTGCCACGCCATCCTGCAGCAAGTCAATTTGCCTTAGCTGCAATCCCTGGGAAAATCTGTTAAAGATCAATATAGAATTACTAAATATGAACAAAAGCATATGAAGAAGAACGCATTCAGCACCAGTGGCTAATGTATAATTATAATTCACATTAGACATTTGTTATTACTCAAGATGAAACAGAATATTTTAATGTTGCTAATTAATTTTATCTATCAAGTTTCCCTGTATCAGAGCATCTACACATGTATTTTTAAGCTATTAGAATAATCACACATTGTAACGTTCTGAACCCATTTTTTGGTTGAGGAACATTTTGAATGCAGGAATTTTACTGTAACAGAGTATTCGTGCACTCTGGTACTTCTACTTTTACTCTAATACAAGATCTGAGTACTTATAGTCAAGTGCAATATCTGAGTACTTCTGTTTTACTCAAGTACAATATCTGAGTACTTCTACTTTTACTCAAGTACAAGATCTATTCTGTTTATAGCCTATGAGAAAAACTATTAGAAAACGAAAGCTAAAGCTAATGTTAGCAGATAGTGACAATGTATGCTAGTTAGCTAGCTCAACGATTCTTTAAATAATATTGCGACAGAAACATTTTTCTGTTCACATCACGCTCTGCCGCTCCAACAGGGAGCTCTGCTCTGAACACCCGAACGGCAAGGCGATACGGGTCCGTTCTTATTGTGCATCCATGGGTAAAGGTAAAACCTTTATATATACAGTCTATGGTTAAGGGTAAAACGCATGTAGTACAGAACACGTAACATGAAGGTGCCGGGCGGCGCGGTCCCGTGGGTTGGATGCGCGTTCATAATGCCGAGGGAAATAACTCTCGAATGTTCTCCTCAGAGTCCGGCGCACTTCCTGGGGGCTTGGTGTGAAAGCGGCGCCATTGTGCCCCGCCACACCTCCAAGCAGCCTGCGTTGTGAATAGCCAAATAACTAGCGCTTGGTCCGCTAGCTCAATGCTAACATATAATGGATAACGTCATTGACGCGCTAACTGAAATTAGCATTTAGATATCGGTCATGTTAAACAACAGTCAACATGCTTAAAATAAACGTAATACTTACAGGCATTCATTTGCTGTGCTTTGAGGAAATAACTGATATTATTGATGAATTAATATTACCTGTAAATGTATTTCATCCAGCTGAACAAGGACAATTTGCTCCTCTGAAACAGGGACAAAGACCTCACTGACTTCTTCGTCGTTTTCCCTCGGTGTTTTTTACGTCGGCACTTCCTACAAAAGACAAATCGTAAATTCCTAGTCCTTTTTTCCTGATAAAGAACTTGTCTTTGTAACATTACATATCAGTAAACAGAGGAAGTCATCGTTAAAACCCGTGCTAAAAATGTACGACTTAGCCTACCACTGCAGTCCGTCGACGTTTGAGTGTTTCTCCAGTTTCATCCTCTTTTTGCAGAGTTTGCATTTCATTTTTCCTTGAAGCAATTCCTTTTTCATTAGCCATTCAATTAATTTTTTCTTTTTTTTAAAAGTCTGTCTTCCGTCAATAAGACTGAGTACTTTGGTGTGCAGTGTCATGATGATAACCTATAACCTGACTGCGGCGTTACTACTGCGTTACTGCGGCCCCGGCCGGTCCACAAAACCTAACACCCAGCGTAGTTCAAGATGTGCTGCCGCTGGGCCAGACCGGAAGTGGAACTCCGCTGAGCGCACTAGCGCCCTAGCACCCTGATCCTCATTTCTTGTTCACACGATTCAAACCAATAGTTTTGATGTTTTGAATCAGGTATTTCATCTTCCTTGTTCAATTGACAAAGCACAGCTTCTTTATATTCACTGATATACAATTAAAATATTAAAACCGTAATAAAGTGTTAATACGCTGCAGATCGGGATCCGGCTGGAGCACTATGCAAGACACGCCCCTTCATAGCATTCAAGTGCTACGATTGGCCATGAGCCTGTCACGTGCATCTCGGCTAGTGATAAAACTCAACCTCTCCATCTTATATGTACACTACAGTCTATGCTCTAGTCTACACGCTTAGAACTGAAAATGGACTCGAGGAGAAGCAAGCGAAAGAGGATGGGGCCCCCTAAGTGTTTAGTGTCAGAATGTAAGTATGAATTTAAATTTATTTTTGTCATTTCAGAAATCAGTAACACTGCATCGCGAAATCATCTCAATTGACACATGTTATTACACTTTTTGTTCTGTGCTATCTGATTTGAGGTTGCTAGCTAAACCACGAGGACCCACGTGTTACATCATAATAATAATAATAATAATAATAATACATTACATGTATAAAGCCCCTTGCTGGAGCTCAAAGCGCTTACATGACATTTAAATGTTTTGTAAAGTTCCTTATACAGCTTTAGACTTGTTTTTATCTCATAAAGTCCTTAAGTGACACACCCTGAAAAGTCTGGTGGGTCATGTGCCGGGCTAAGACATGTGACAGAACTAGGTACATTTCAGAGGCTTGTTTTTGGTTGCTAAAGGTACAAATCAAGCCATTTAAGAATTAAAATGCTTACATAACATGTACTTTGTTACATTGAACCTGTTAACATTTCTTGATCAAATTGATATGAAACAAATTAGATAAATATCGCTGTGACACTGATGTCACATCGGGACATTAACCTTAAACTTTCACAGTAAATCTGGAGTAACACATATGTCACAATTAGAAATATGAGTATGATCTGCTCAGTTAATTTAGGTGATCCAATTATATTTAGTTAATATATTCTTTATTCTTCAATTCAAAGAATGTTAAAACAAATTTAAATCAAAAAATCCTCCTCATTAATTAAGTTATAAATAAGAGTTACTTTACCATTAAAGTTCAATGTCACATTGTCAGAAATGTGGTCTATTTAGTCTAAATTATGTTCCCCTTAATTTCCCCAAAAGTAGAAATGGGTCTGGGTTGTTATGGGTTAAATTAGTTAAATCGTCAAATAAACTGAAATATCTCAATTACGAAGGTTTAACGTTTTATCTTAACTCTTAAATAAGTAAATGACATTAGGGCGCTAGAAACGAGAGTATTTTGATTTTAACACAGCATTGGGCGATATGTAATGAAAATATAATTAAAAACAGTACATTCATACATTCATTCAAGAGTTGCTTTTCAGATATCCAATTTTGAAATACTTCCAATGAAGTTATAATATAGCTGAAAAAAAACAAACATACTTCCATATAGTAATGCTCTCTACATCAACAACTCTTTCTGTGCTCCACAATCTTACAGCGGATCAATATTTGGCTGGTCAGTCTGAGGAAGAGCCATGCAGCTCCCACACTGTGGCAAAGGAAATGGGTAAGTGTTTGCTTTCAAATGTTAAGCATACTTTAAGGATCCACTCAGTCTCAGATGGTGTACTAATAAGTAGTTGCTTAGCAGATAGCAGTAAAAAAAACAAAATGTAAACGTATAGTGGATTAAAGATGTCACATGCACAAAGTGAAGCCCCTTGTTATCTCCTGTGTTGAGGAGATTCTTCCACTGTGCTTTGCCATACCTTTGTTGGTGGTAGAGGTCAGGGTGGGCAGATAGTGGTTTGGACGACATCCATGTTTTTTTGGTCTAATTTGGCATTTTGGACCTTTACACAATTTCAAATATTCCCTATCGCTATATGTACCATTTTGTCAACACTATTTCTAATTTATGAACTTTCTGTCTCCCCTCTTAAAGCTGTAGTGCACTGCAGTGATGGGTCTGACTCGGATGCATTCACAGGACAGCAGTCTACTATTAAAGCATCAACTAAAGGTTAGGTTGTGTTGTGACATTGCATTACATTTACATTTTATCTACGGTTACTGTTTTTTGATTGTGTTATCTTTATATATATATATATAATATCGCACAATACACTAGAACAAGAAAATATTACATAACGAAAATGTAAACGCTTGTGCAAATGTACTAGAGCCCATTTTACTTCTGTGTGGTTGAGTGCATATTAAAAGTTGAAGTTATTTTTTGCAATTACTTGTGAAGCCCCTGTCAGAATCAATGATCTTACAGTTGCCTTGAAGTGAATATAGTAATGTTTTGTAATGTATTATCATAGGTTTTGCAGTGTTTAAATGCAGTTGCAAGTCCCAATATAGAATTCAACAGTCTCTATTAAATGTGATCAATGACATGTCTGCAACTTCACGACAATACAGGCGGTCCTAGATCTATAATTTTGACATTTTATTGTACATTTTTTGAAAACGCTAAACAAAGGCATGGAACCACAATCTGCCTATACATACTATTTGTGTAATAACTACAGAAAAGATAATGTTGTTTTTTTTGCCGTTTTTGTCATTACAGATGTTTCTGCAGCTCCCACAGCCATAGCAGCTCTGAAGCGCAGAAACAGAGATAATAATGCCTTGAAAATAAGGCTAGATGCTTCAAAGGACAAATTATTAACTGTTGAAAGCGAAAGGGACTATCTGAGGATACAGCTGGCTGAGGGTAAGCAAATCAATAATGATTAAATAATTACTTATTGGCATCTGATAGCTTTTGAGAAAAAAAACAAAAAAAACAGGCACATACACCAAGCCCTACAACATTTCTCATCACAGTCCATGAGGCCATACATGCTTGCAGATGACTAGTTGCATCAGCAATTCAGTCATTTCACTGCAAACATATCATGACAAGCATATAGGACGGACAGCACCAAATGGCGGGGTGGAGCTTGACAGATCAGGCTCCAGCTCACTTCTCTCACTTATCAACCGACAGTAGAGGGTTGGATTAAGAGGGAAAGAACAGTCACTTGTTAAAACATGTTGAGTCCGTTTGTTCGGGGGAAACTTGGAACAGGCATATCACATGCCCCGTTTGAACTAGAGTCATGAAAATTATCTCACATATTCCATAAATCCTAAAGAACAAATTGTTTCACTTACCTAACATTTCAGGTCACGATATTTTTCACTATTTCAAATGTAGTGAAAAACACTATATGAATTTTCACCGATCTGCGTGAAACTCTGAACACACAATATAAGGTTTAAAGATTATTGTAAATGTTCTGACCCTTAGTGGTAACAATAGTTATCTTCTAATCCTCTTGTTTGTTTCAGCTTTGGCCCTTCTAAAAATGGCATCAGTTAAGGCGCCAGTTACTTCTGAAGGTGACCAAATAGGGGCAGGCAACTCCTCTTCATCCTCCACCTCCTCGTCTTCCTCCACCTCCTCCAATTCCTCCAGTTCCTCCTCCTCCTCCTCATCCTCTTCATCAGACAGAGGGAAGAAGAGGAAGAGTAAGAAGAAGAAGAACAAGAAAAACAAATATGGCAAGAAAAAAAGAGGAAAAAAAGCGAAGAAGACAAAAGGAAAGACTGCAAAGAGAGGTACGTTGGCCACCTACACAGTGTCTGACTAGGGAAGTAAGGAGGTAGGACTACAGTGAATTATGTGACAGACTGACCATTGCTCAGTGTAGAAGGAACAGCTAGTGAACAGGGCTAACCTGCATTAGCAGGTGCTGTCAGACTGTTTGTGTTCATACTGAAAACACTAAACTGAAACGGATTTGCTCATGCACTTAAAGTACATTAAACTTAATTAGTGAGGGAGTGTCGCTACATGCCTTAGCGTGTTATCATCAAGGGGATCATTAAGGGAACGAATGCAGTCTGGTGTTGAAGTACAGTCGTACAATGTATTTTACAGCTCAATAAATACTTTTAGTATGCATTAAGTCTTTAATTTCAACAAATGTTCAAGTTACAATTGGGCGATGTGTACCCAACTGGACATAGACGATGTCCTCTGCGGCGGTGCTTGATCAGCTCCGGGACCACGGCTCAAACTAAACTCTGCGCTTCATTTACCAATGCTTTTTTGTTTATTTCTGCTGTAATACGTGTTACAATAATGGAGTCAGCTGTTTAACTATTATACATCAACCTGAGCTTATCCTCCCACTTTATGGCTGTTTAAAGTAATGTGAGTACCGCAGTTAACTGTTCCGAAACGGAAACTCTACCCGTTCTTGTGGGGCAGGGAGGGGAGGGCGCCTTATTAACTCATGATGTGATGATGGTCAGGTATCCAACGGCGATGGCTATCATACATGGCTGATGCACAATGTCATTGTCCATCAGCCCAACCATAACTAGAGTAAAGTTTAGCCAGCCCTGCATCATCTTCTGGTTGTTTTTGTGTTTTTAAGTGGTTGGATTCAATAAAAGAGCTGAGCGCCCAAAAAATATGGTGGACACAAGAAAGACATGTTGCTGGATTCTTAAGGTAACCACTTCTCTTGGTTGGTTATGAAGAAGGAGCATATCAATATATAAATATACACAAATATTTGTTTTGAAATTCAGTTCTGTTGTTAACCTGGTTCTTGAAAAAATATGTCCATAGCTACCGCAAGAATTGCTGCAGAGCATTCTTTTGGAGGTAGTTCTTGACGCTGGAGACATGGCATATTTGACGCTTTCTCTGGTTTGTTGGAAAGTAAGAAATACCGTCAGCCAGGACGCTTTCCGGAAAAAGGCACACTTTTTGTGGATATTGAGTAAGAAATATTGTATTTTACAAATTCAATTTCAATAAGCTTGCTAAATTAAACCTTAGGCTTATTGTTTTATACTTTCTTATTACAGGTGTGGACACAAATTGGTTTCACCATTCCGAGTCCTATCGCGAGGAAATGTCCACCATGTTTTGCATTTCGTCTTGTCAGTTTTGCAGAACGCAATTCAAAGATTGTTCAGGTTGGCATACAATGACATAGATAAATAAGTTCTGTATTTCTGCTTCAGATGCTTTCAGTGCTTACATAGATTGTTAGATAGATTATATTTCCTCAAAAATGTATCAGTGCACGTCACTCACAGTTAGCTTTAGACAATTAAGTGCTGTCACCATTTGTTTTTTTCAAAGTAACCTAAATTACAGATGGCTGCCACATTGATTAGAGTGAGTGAAAGTCCAGATTTTACTGAAGAAAAAGGAAATAATTTTGTATTCTCAAATTTAGCTGAAAAATAATAATTGCAGCTTCTTGCAATTTGGATATTGCACTTTCAACTTAAAAATATCAGGATGTCCCACTACATCATGTAAGCAGGAATATATGTGTAAAATGTACTTTTGACTCACATTAATATATTAAAGCAGCTTCCAAACAGACAATTATCTAGTGCTCAATGAGAGTATCAGTAGTAGTCTCACACAGTTAAAGACAAACTCTAAATTAATATATTTATAATTGTAATATAATTGTGTGGTGGTTGCCGTCATTTCATGCAACAGTTGCACTCCATAGCCAGCTGCTGTTGTCACAGTATGCCACTGATCAAGTTAGCAACCACCTTTTTTAAATGAGATGTAAAAGTTATATAATTAAACATTTTGTTATTCACTGACATTATAGAACAATATTTAAAAAGTATCTCTATTTTAAACTAAAACTTTAAGGACTTTAAGAAGAAGGACTAAGATGTGTGAAAAAAATCAACAGATTTAGGGATTTTAGGAGTCATGCCTATTGAGGTTTGTAGGCTAGTGTAATATCTGCAGGGCTGGTGGAATAAAATCCAGGTAACTGTAAAGCTTATAAGGGAGGTGGCTTGCCAGTCTTTTCACAATTCCAAAATATGGTGACAGCCTGTATATAGATTTTTTTAAGTTTAATTTAAATATCACTTAACCATAGTATTGAAGATAGCAGATCATTCATAACATTATACATACAAATGATCTAAATCAAATGTATTATTACATTTACAGCCTTCTGTAGATCAGATTTTTCACTTTTGTGTTGTGCAGGATACGTAGGACATGGGAAAAGAGGTGTCATTCGGGCTATGTACTCTGAGCATCCTCACCCTGGGTTCTGCAGCCATTTTTGCTCAACGGATGCTGGGAATTTTGAGTAGGAGGTACCTGGTGTTAAGGCCCCGATATTCAAAACACAGCATTGTTTTTTTTTGTTTTTTTGTTTGATTAAGTACGCCAAATCTCCACCCTCCATAATGCTTCATTTGCTTGATAATTTCTAATGGCGGTGATGACAGTTACAGTATTAAAACTGATGTTGATGTGATTTGATTGGATGGCAGTGTCCAATCAAATCGCCAGCCGCCAGCCACCTCTGAAGGGAAGCAAGAGGCGGCTAGCTTCCCTTGGCATGGCCCTGACCAATCACAGGTTGGCAGGGGCATCACGTGGGCCTCATCTGATTGGTCAATCCCTCCATTTTTTTTCACCAAGGGAAGCCAGATTCGGCTGGCCTCCTCTCGCAACAGTGAGTGCAATCTACTGTTTCACCATAACATCTAGAGGGGCGCTGTTTGTTTCACTCTTTGTAAAATACTCAATGAGAATGGGGGAGAGACGGGCCGGCAGCAACACACAGCAAAGGAGAATTATCGAAACAAAACAAAGTGTTTTTATTTATTTATTTAAATTATAACTACAATCCAAAAAAACAGGGGAAGCCTGGCTTCCCTTGGCCTCCGGGAGAAAACGCCAATGGCTCTGATTGGTCAGCAGGCAGTGCTTTCACTGAGTTGAGCTCTTAGCCTGCAACCTAACCTGCTCCGGAGCAGGTTAGCCGCTAAGCATAAGTTACCATGGAGATCTAGCCTGCTAAAAAGAGAACCAGCTTCGTAGGACCGGAAAGAGTTTCCCTGAATTTAGCCGGCTAAGCGAAAATCCTGCTTCGTAGTATACCCCTCTGGTCTGGGGGAAGCTCACGAGTGTGTGTGTGTGTGTGTGTGTGTGTGTGTGTGTGTGTGTGTGTGTGTGTTTACGTGTGTTTACGTGTGTTTGTGTATTTTTGCGTTTTTGTGTATTGTGTTTGTTTCCCGGGGAAAACACTCACGAGAAACACCGGCTGTTGTTATGCCTGCTGTGACGTCAAGTTACTCCATTCTCCGCTTGTAATTATGTCGTTACAAGCTTCAAATACCTCATTCACACCAACGGTGTTTCAGGGCCGGTTCGGAGCTGGAGCTTGAAAAGCACCGGGTTTTCCTCTTTCCGCAGCGGAGCAGCCTCTTAGCTCCGGAATCCGGTTAGTTTCAAGCACCAAAAAATTGTCCGTCCAGAGCAAAAGCACCGCATACGTCACGCTTACGTCGAGGCGGGGGCAGGGGCGGGATCAACTCCTGAACAACAACAAAAAGCCTGCGTTTTATCCAGCTTGTACACAACGATGGAGAAACGTAACAAGCAGCAGTGGTCCACTGAAGAGACCAGCTACCTACTGGGAATCTGGTCTTCCGAAGAGGTACAGAGGAAGCTGGAGCACAATCGGCCATTGTTGTTCTTGTCGGTGTCAGCTGTGAGGGGTTTCCGTGCGCTTTATGAAGCAGGCACGTAAACAGTTACCTCATGTGCAATGACGCAGCACCAGTCGTACTCTGGGCAGTGTGAAAAGAGCCGGAGCTAAACCGAAGAACCGGTTCTGAACCTGAAAAGCTCTAGCACGGAGCTTGAACCGGAGTTGCGTTGGTGTGAATGAGGTATAAGTTGTATTTATCATCTGAATTTGCTGAAACAAGTTTAATATTCTGAAAGCCAAGACTTTGTTTATTTGAAACCCCTGCCGTGTTATCTATTATTATGACTATACGCCTTACATTCATAATTTCAGCGGAGGGAGGGGAACAGCAGAACAGCAGAGGCGAGAGCTGTCTTCTTCCCTTTACAAGCTTCAAAAATGTATTTATCGTGTGATTTTGGAAATAAATGTTTCATATTCTGAAAGCCAAGACTTTGTTTATTTAAAAAAATAATAAAAAACTTTAATTTTTTTATTTTAACTTTTGTTTTGTTTTGAATTGGTTCATGATAGGCCCCTGATCTCTGTAGGCCCCTGGGCTTCAGCCCAGGTCAGCCCGTGCATTAAGGCGGCCCTAGGCTACTACGAAGCAGGATTTTCGCTTAGGGAAAACTCGGGGTTTCCGGTCCTACGAAGCTGGTTCTCTTTTTAGCAGGCTAGATCTCCATGGTAACTTATGCTGTGCGGCTAACCTGGGGGGTATACTACGAATCTAGTTAAACCTATCCTGGATATGTTTTGAGTTATCCGGTTGACTTAATCCAAAACTAAGCCGCTCTCGCTAAACTGTCCTACAACGCTGGCTATCAACTCATTCGCTCAAGCCAGCCGTGTCCTATCTAGTTAGGTGCGCGTTCACATGAAAGGGGTGGTATTTGGAGCATTCGACCAATCACAAACATGGAGAAGCGTACTGACAGCGCAGCGTCATACTTCCTGAATGAAAAGTTAAATGAAACTATAATATTAGTCAAATATGAAGAAGTTAAACTTTAACCTGTTAAACCCCGAGCCTGTTTTTCAGGTTTCAGGCTCGAAAATGACATTCCCAGAACAAATGACCATATCTTCCCTTCTAAAAGGGTTAAATTAATAATATTTTTTCTCAAAGTAATGATAAACCTGTGAGTTGGATGTAGAAAAGTCAGATTAAATATAGATGTTTTTTATTTTAAAGAAAATTCAGATTGAACATGGTAAAAAACTGTAAATTATAGTGTCCGTCCAAAAAATATTTTGTATTTATAGTGAAAACTAACCTTGGATGATGGGTTAGTAGACTAAAAGCTTTAGGAATCTAAAGTACAACATATAATAAGTACCCTGTATCAAGATTGATGCAAAACAAGTTATATTTGACCTTTTTAGACAGATTTAGCAACATGTGACATCTCTTTCTGACCGTCAGAGCCAATGGAATTGAGGGGAACTCCCACATAGTCCTTATTTGGTAATGTGTGTGTGTGAGACTGCCGCAAAGCCTAGACCGGAAGCAGCAGCCACTCTGGTAGCTACCATTAGCAGCCAGCATTTGCTCTCCGATTTTTACATAAAAATGGAATTATAGATTATAAATTAAATCATTTTTTTATACAGAGACGTTAAAAACCTATGGACTAACCGATTCAGCCGCGTTTTTTCTCGTTTTAATGCCATTGAACACGTCTTTTGATCAGATTGACAGCTACGGTGAGACGATCTCCCTAGAAGCTCCGTAAAGGTACGTGTTGTGATGTCTGTGTTTGCTTCCCCTGTCGCGAGTCCGGATCACTCAGTGATGATACTATATACCTAAATAATCTGTGGAACCTCAGCTTTAATCGGATATATTGTATGTGCAGCTACGATAAGTAATAAGGGTACTTTTATCTTGAGTTCTGTGCCAATGTCCGTTAGCATTTTTCGCTAAGGGGTCATTTAGATGCTTCTTATGAGACTTGTGTTTTGTTTTGGTAAAAATGGTTTGTATCGTCAGTTAGCTGAGATTATTTCCGTTAATCTGGTATAACACATTAATAGGTTCTTAAATATTAAGATCCCCTGAGACACAGTGTCGTGAAAAAAAAAAACAGGGTCCCCGCCGACGGGGACCTTGGGGTTTAACAGGTTTAAACATCCATGACTTAAACACTTTATCCAGGATCAAAGCCACATAGCTGCACCTACAAGGTGAATAAAGCTGGTAAAAGAAAAAGTGTTTGAATGCGTACATTAACAGGTTTATGATATCACTGCCAAGACACGAGTGGATCTGACTTTAATTACATTTGACTCGAGTGTTTCGTCAACTTAATGTGTTGCTTAAAATAATACTTATGCATACCGTAGCCTATGTGACACTGTGAGTGTTGCACAGCCAGATATGGCTCAGCTGACTCAGATAAGGAAATATATGATACATTATGATGTGATATAAGCTTCTTAGTTTTTGCAACAGTCTGTAAATATACACAACTTTATAATAAAATGCACACATTTACCTTTTTCTAGACTAAACACAGGTATGATCCTAAGTTAAAAACATATGTGGCTAAGAGGTTGTTAACATCGCAGTTTATCAGTGGATGTTTGCTTTAACTACTTGTTAATAGCTTGTTTCCTGACGGACACACACAGCGTGGAGACCGGTCAGGTAGAGACCGGTCTCAAGCATGGTCTCAAGTCAGCACCGATGCAGACTCGCTGTTTGAGGGCTTGATAGCCCACTCCCTCTCCACACCACTCCACACTCGTTGGTTTGGAACAGCACTTAAAGGTGGGGTAGGTCATTTTGGAGAAACCAGCTCGAGTGCGCTAGAATTTGAAAATACACAGCCGGAAGAAATCTGCCACTTCCTTACAGAGCCCCTCCTCCAACACACACGAACTATGACACGAACGCGCACATGACCAATGAGGGCACGAGATAAGTTTGTGCACAGATGGAAGGCTGACAGGCAGGTATAGGCCATTCAGTTATTTTAGCCGGGCCGGCTCAGATGATTGGTCGTGCTTTTTACAGTGTTACGGCTTCCACAGATAACATATTTTAATGTATTTATTGTCAAAGCATTTAATATTCATTGCTATCGGGATGTTAAGAGCATTCCATGGAATATAACAAAAAGTGTATCTCGAGCCGGTTTCTCAAACTTACCTACCCCACCTTTAATGTGGCGGGCCCTCCGCGTGAACGCGCAAACGGAGGTGTAGGTGCAGGGGCGGACTGGGGGAAAAAAGTGGCCCGGGGATTAATTGACAGACAGGCTCACTTAATGCGCGGCATGTATCGGCCGGCCGGCGACGAAAGTATGTTACTTAACAAAAAACCCTATGCATTTTATGTTATTTTGGACAATTATTCATATAGTAATCACATTACCTGAGCCCTTGAGTTAGAGCAAAAATAGTTACAGCATATATTTAGTGATTTTAATGTTAACAGATCATTGATGCAATAACATTTTGACCCAATTTGCCTGACTTGACACATGGAATAAAACATGGGCGTAGGAAGCATCCTCAATGTGGGTGAGACAATTTAACAGGGGGTGTGGGCAGGTGGTGGGCCTCACCTCCTCTAGGGGGTCCGGGGGCAAGCTCCCCCGGGAA